CTAGGGCACCAAAAAAATCCCCTCCCCTGAACGACAGTTTTTTCCTAAAACTGCAGATTTAGGTCATTAGTAAAAGGGCAAAACCAGTTCTGCTCTCATCTACTGAAGGCATCAATAGTTCAACAGGATGGAACTCTCCAGCCCTGTGTCTCATTCAGACACATCACTCGGCCACAGGGATCTGTTTGCTACTGCCACTTGATGTCCCCAGCCAGAGCTGAGGAATTTACTTTTTTCTGCAGCATTCTTAATCTCTTGCCATTTTTCAGCTCCGAAAAAACAATCTTAAGTAGTGCTCCAGGTGGTTCAGTAACTTTTCTGTCCTTTATAACTTGTTCTATACACAGATCTTTTTCCTGCTATACCTTTCTTCTGTAGTACTTTTCCGAGTTCATGGAACAACTGGGAATGTAAAATCAAAGCAATACATGGAGTTTTAAAGCAGAGTCCACTGACAAATATTTGAAAGCTATACTATGATGATTGCTCTGCACCCCATGCAGTCAAACAGGAACTGAGAGGGCAGCTTAGAATTTAAAGCAAATGTGTAACAGGAACATTTTTCATTGATTTTTCCCCCAAAGACCTGGGCTCTGAGCAACTACTTCTTCCGTCTTCCTCTTTGCTGTCTTGTTGCAATATTTGCAGTTTTACAGACATGTCCTTATTTAGCCAACCAGCTTACAGAAACACAACTTTCCATTGAAGGCTAATTTAGAGTCTCAAGCACATGTTCTCAGCTGCTGCAAAATTATGCCACTGAGTGCAATAGGCACTGTCATTTTATATCAGCTGAGAATCTGCTTGCAAGGGCAAAATAAGTGGATGCAGCTGCAGTTCTCTTCCTTGGGAGTTGCCCCTTATACACAACTGATAGCAGGTGGCTGAGAGTTGGTATTTAAAAATGACAAGTTTTTTGGTGTTTCTTTTTTTTAAATATTTCTGCTGAAGTTCATTCATATGCTCTCTTTGATGGCTGGCCAGGACCTATAGCCTACCATCCTCCAACTCAGAGGAAAGGATGTGGACAGAACTAATTTAGAAAATGGATTTCCAGATAATAAATTAAAAATTCTCTCTCATGCTCTATCATGTGGCAGAAGAAAGATAAAATTGAAAATGTGACCCCTTTTATCTTCAAACAATACAATGCTATTCAACAGACTTAATTATCCCTAAAGACACATGCAATAATTGATGGCCTGCCAATCAAAGCCCTTATTAGACATGCACATGATGTCACATCACAGTCTAAATCTTAATCTAAATCTAAACCTTCCTGCCAGTCAAGAATCTTTATATAGATTAATCTGATTTCAGATACAAATTTTGTGCCTTTTACCCAACCTTTTAAAGGCTGTGATCAGAGAGGAGCTGAATCTTTTATGTGTGCTGCTGAGCTGCTATGATGGACTCTGAGCAGTCCCAGAGAGTTTTTCTCCTGGCCCCGCCCTGATATGCTGTGCTGTGGAGCCTGGAAAAGGGGTATCCCTTGGATGGCTGAGGGACCTGGGGTGGACCTGCACTGCTACGATTGATGGATGGCAATTAGTAACATTACTGGCTACTGGAAACATCACCTGTTCTCCTGGGGTCTCCAGGGTCGCTCTCTTTCCCTTCCCACAACCCCAGGAAACTTTGTCTCTCATCTTTACTGGGAGAAAACAGTGTTGTGGAAGATTGTTTTCCCATGGCACTTGGCACCATCCACACTGTTTGGGATTATTATCCCATTACACTTTCACACCTTCCGTTGAAGAGTAGGAAAGGTGGAGCCTTCCTACTGCACCTAGCTGGTAAGTCACAGCTTGGGGGCACAGCTCCATTACCAGCTCCTTGTCTTCATGGGGAAGGCATACACAGCCTTTCAGGATTGGTAGTTGGATAATGAATCTGAAGAAGTTATAAATTTACCAACAGGTAATGCATTAAGCTTTGTGTTGCTATTTGCACTGGCACTTCAAGTCTCTTTTGAACTGCAATAAAAGCAAATGGCAGACGCTGAGGCTTTCAAGATAATGGAATTTATCTTCTGTAAATCTGCTCTTTAGATGTCAAGCAAAGCAATTTCACAATATATAGAAAATATCTTGTCTGGTGTTGTATTTTTATTGGTGTTTGATGTAACTTGAAAATATTAGGCCATGTTTTGGTGTTCAATTCTCTATAAATTTTTCAGACAGCCTGATAAAACAAATGGAAAAAATGTCTGTAATTGGACGTCATTCTGAAAGCTGAGGGACTATGGAGAAAGCCACACAGCAAGCTTGATCTGCATGTAAAACTTCAAAGTGCTTCCTAGATTCATGAACTACAGAAACTGACTTGAAGTCAGCAGGAAAATGTCAGTAACCAATGAGAAAAAAATCCTGCCTTCAGGTTTGAAGGAGAAGGAAAACCCAAAATGTTCACATTCAGCAGGACATTGTGTTCATGGTGAGGCTGGCCACATATGCATGTATACACATATGTATACCTTGCATAGCCAATGTAAGTGGTTTCAATGCCAACTTCCTTCCTGAGGAGTGCTTACAGAACAGAGGATTGCTCACATTTTTTTCTGGCTCGGAGGCAATTCAAAACTTTTAGGTGATCTTCATATATCTTTCTTAGAAGAAACTCTACTAATGGAATATTAGTTGGCTCCTGTGGGAGAGGAGAGAGGCCACTGGTGCAGTGGGTCAGCCCATATTTAGCCCAAGAATAGCCTTTGTGAGTTTGAGATTTTGAATGTGTTTTGTGCATTTTCTTACTTAACTGCTTGGTTTCTAGTCTTTGTACAAAAAGGTTTCTTTTGGCAGAATAGACAGAGTTTAACATTTGTCCTTGCAGTTAAAACAGCAGCAAGGAACACCTAACAAGACAAGCCAAAAACAGTGATTTACGAAGTTTTATAAAACTTTGTCGGGAAAAAGATCATTTGAGCAATTCTCCTCTGATTCACCCGCAGCTCATCTGCAAGTAAGCGCCTTCCACAGAGCAGTTAGGATGCACACAGTCCCTAGTAAATTCAGCTGATGAGATGGCTCCACTGGCCCTCTCCATCGCAGCAGTGACTCTTGCTGCCTGACTTCAGGGCACATTGTTGCTGCCAGCTGTGACCTACCATAATTCTGCTATGCACAGGGGCTGCCACAGGTACAAGGGTTCATCAGGGATGGGCAGAGGGTTTATGAACTTTCTGAAGCTTCTTTCCAGAAAGCTTCTTGGTCAAATTTTTTTAAAGAAGGAACTGGTTTGTACTGGGATGATCTTACTCCTTTTAGCTTGGAGTTGAAGCTTTAGACTGCTCTTCTTTCCCTTCCTCTTGGAAGACAGGGCTAGAAACAGCCTTGAGAAACCACAAAAATGGTCTTATGTTTTCTGGCTGATACTTTTGCCATCCTAGTCCAACACTTGCAATGATATTGAAGTGCATGACATTAAAGAGAACAAAAAGTTGCCCAGCTGTTGCCAGTTTTACTTTTGTACTTTCTGTCGTGCTGATCTAGAAGATATTCTGTGAATGCTGTATAACTTTGTCGCTGAAGAGTTAAAGCATGCTGTGGCTCTGTCACCACTGCAAAGTTTGCTTTTCTTCTGGGATAATACCATTTGGTGGTGGCCCCTTTCTTAGGATGATGTTTGACCCTCGTTATATTTCTTACACCCTGTAAAATTCCCTGCTTATAATAAATTACATCTTCTTAATCATATATAATTTCATGCAAATGTACACTTTACTAAATTATGTTTGGAGGTCTGTGAAGGAGAGACAAGTGAACTACATGCCTCAAACGTTGCCTACCAGGGCACATCTTAACTGGGGAGTGGTTTTTTAATAACCTCTTACACAAACAGAAAATCTTCATTTAATTTAGATTCCCTTTATTATAGTTTGAAGTTACCAACAAAATAACAAGGAAATAAGAGAGCTCTCCATGCAGGAAAAAAAGCCATAATATCCTGCCACTGAGGACTTGCAGGGCTTCAGAAGTATGCTTAATTCAAACAGGAGTGTGAAAATACTCTTAACTCAACCCAAGAGCAAACTAACACTGGAAGGGGTTGGCTTGCTCTCTCTTTGCCTGGCCATAGGGTCCAGGGAACCCCACAGGGTGGGGATTAGTGTAAGATGAAATAATAGTTTTTCCATAAGATGACTCACATTACAAAGTTGTACCCTGGAATTTCATCATTAAATCCTCCACAAGTGGTCTTCCTTTTAACCATTCCAGAGCAGTGAAAGCAGAAGGCAATTACACATTTCCCCCAAAGACCCAGTCCTTCCACCAGCCCTCCAAGCCATTTGCTGACAAAATCGTCTATGTATTTGAATAATTCATGATACAAATAGATTAATCTATGCCAAGTGAAGAGGTTGACTACTGGGATACAGCAATACCAACAGAACAAAATTGAAGCTGGAAACATGGAGGAAATGAACTCGTAACAATGGCAAGCGGCATTGTATGCTCCAGCAGCAAGAGACAGCTGTGACCACATCTGAAATATGAGCGTGGGGAGCAGCAGCTAAAAAAGGTTTTAGAATAAGCAGAGCTGAGCTAAAAGAATCTGCTGGTTTTGAGATGCAAAATAAGATTATTATAAAATGGCTGAAAACTAAATTGCAAGTGTTATGTCTCATTCCAAAGTTTTTCCATTCAGAAAGTTTATAAGTAACACTCCCGTATCTTTTACTTTCCACTGACATTGAAGAAATAGAAGTCTCTGCTCGTGCCAAATGATCTGTCACCCCAAGCCCCTGACCTGGGCAACTGATAAAGGCATGTTACAGATGCATGGAGTGCAAAGACTGGAAATATTAAAAGCTACATCTCAAGTAGTGTAAGCTGGCTGTGGTCCAGCTTATACCAGCTGCTGATTAGCTCCATAAATGTCTTAGAGCAGTAACAGTTGGAGGAATTATGGTTTGCATTCACTAAACACCAATGAGGGCTACCTTTGAGGGCATGCTTTGCTTGCATTTGTGGATTGAAGAATGATTACATCAAGGATTTTTAAAATCCCTCATTCTTTAGCTGTTCTTCAAAGAAATCATTACATGCCACAGTCAAAGCAGCAACCAGAATGACAAATTCATTAAAGTCCACTTCATTGTCCTTATTGGAGTCCAGGTCATTCATTATTTTATCAACCAGGAGGGGGTCCTTTTGGCCCTAGAGAGAAAGAAAAGTGACTTAGCTGTGCAGATCTGGAATGTACAATTCTGTCATGCCTGGCACCACTGCTATGTTACAATGCTGGTGTTATTAAATAAAAGGCTGCATCAAATATGCACCTTATGAACAGTAATACATCTCTAGTCACTATAACATCAGAAACTAAACACAGTGTAGCCCCTATAAGGTATATAGGTACTAAATAGGCATTGAAATGAATCAAGCAGATTTTAGGAGATACTGAACATGGAGCCCTTTTGTCAAGATGGATCTGTAAAGCGCATTTCTCTGCATCATCCCTCGACAAACAGTACTTAGATTTCCAACAGAATACTCATAAATGGTCATATTATATATCCCTTCATCACATTCAGAAGACCTCTGGTTGGCAAACAAGCATCCTATTCAGTGGGAGCAAGAACATTGAACCTCATAATAATAAATCAATAGCCAAGATTAAAAGAAAATCCAATCCAAGGAAATGGATAGGATGTAAAGAAAATCCTGCTGGTGGTCATATGGTCCAAATAATTTTTACAATTAAGAGGAAACATTATTTTTAAAGCTTATGATTCCATAAAAACATCTATGCTATGTAATGTAGAACATAACAAACATGCAAAGAAACATTTAAATCACCGGGTTATCACTGAAAGGGTTTTCTTAGCACCTCTCTGCAGGGCACACAAGCAGCAGTACCGTGTGGCCAGTGTGCATAAGCTATTTTCTTGCCTCATGAGAACTGATTGCTGCATTTAATTCTTCAATGGACTTATCTATGCCCTATTATTAAAAACAAACAAACAAGCAAACTGACCTTTATTTAGTATATATCTTACTACTACTTCTCGGCTGGCCTAGCCCTCTTGCTCAAAAGCACTATGGAGTTTGCAAAGCACCACTACCCATGTCTGCTGCCAGTGTACCATGGGAGGGTACTGGGGCTTGACCACCCTCTGAAAACCTATTTCTCAAATGAGATATTTGACATCATATTCTTCTGTACAGCTCCACGAAAAACTGCTATCTGAGAGACTGTGACAGGATGGGACTTGCACAAGGAGGTGCTATTCCTATTCAAGAACTTGGATAGTTGCTTAACCCACCCATGATACAGTCACTCAGGAGGTTCAAAAGCTGCATCTTACTGAAAGGAAGTCAGTGAGCTCACTGGTGAGAAGCTCCTTGAGTTCTCCTTTACTGAGCTTGTTTCTGTCTCCTTCTTTGCCAGAGTAGTGATAGAAAATCCTGATCAAGGTGTCCATTGCATCTTCCAGTGGAGTGGTCATAGCAGTGAGCAGGAAAGCTGTGGGGCAGAGGTACCATCACTGACATTGCATGGAGTCAAACTAAAGGCCAGTCTCTGGGAAGGGAAGGAGGGCCAGATGAAGACAGAGATTGTTACCAGTGCTGAAAAGTTAGCCTTTCAGCTGATCCATCCTCTTAGTCATGTGCGAGCAAGGAGGGACTGTAAGAAAAAACCCCCATTGTCCTGAACTCATAAGAAATTGCTTCAAGAAGGTAAATGGAAAGAAAGAATTTTAATTTAAGAAAATTATCTACTGTGTATCCACTTGATAAAGCTTCTGGAAAAGAAAATCTTTTGTACCCTTACCTGAAAGCACAGGAGGAATGAAGGCATACCTTCCTACCTGCTAATTTAAAAATTTTCTCAAAAAAATGTCTTCAACAAATTCTACCTGTGAGAGCAAAAGTGCATTTATACAGAAAGGTCCACACCAGTTTAAAGGTGGTCAGAGAAATATCTCCTGTAATAAAGGTAAATATAATCTGTCAGTTTCTTTGGTCAGGTTTGCTTGGGCTGAGCCTTTTTCCTATAAATTGCCTGCAGTAAACAGGTGTGAGCTGGTCACCCCCAAGGTTTGCTTGATTGAGCATACAGTAAGAAGGTACACAGAGAAGCAGCATCAAAACAACAGATGGAAATGCAATTACATGAAAAGCAGTGGACTCAAAAAGTAACTGAAAGTAGAAATCAAGTGTAAGTGAAACATTATGTTGAATAAGCCCCAGAGAAAGATTAAAAAACCAGAATGCACTTCAGGGTAGGACTGGAGTCCTGAACAATGTCATCATGCAGAGGTTAAGACTTACCTGCTTTACAGGCTAGTGGAGGTAGCTAGCAAGAAAATACCCAGATCGCAGAAGGTGATGGTCACCTTCCTTTCAAAACCCATGCACAGGCTCTTGTTTATCAGGCTGAGAGGGTGGATTACACAAATAGAGACAGACGTATAATTGTCACAGGGATGATGGGTCTTCTGTTTCCCTCTGCATTTGCCTACTCTGTTCAATAAAAGCCTCTTGCTGTAACTGGGTCACTAAAATATTCACCAGGCAGAGTAGAGGCTGCATTTGGAACACATGGGATACTTGTTATCATTTGACTTTTTCCAAATATGCCCATTCAGAGCCTTGAAGGTCAAAATTAGAAAATGCTAACATCACCAAGTCGATCTAAAACTTCATTTAAAAAAGAACACTTTCTAATCTGTCTTTCATCATTTCTACAGTCTGCCTCAGTGCTGGCAGACAGAGTCCAAAGGTACCTTGGTACCTAGGGGTAGTCTTGTAGGCGAGTTTGCCACGTACCCTTTGAGACATCTACTTTAATTGTCAGATATCTCCATACACCTAAAACATTATCTCTTGCTGAATGAAATTCTTGCTGTAGTAAATGTGTCCTCAGAAGGAAATCAGGGAACCAGTTTCAGTGGAAGGTGTGCCTGGAATTACAGTGTACACTGAACAGCAGTCCTGGCTTCATTTTTATAGTCTGGCACAAAAACTGTAGTCCAGCATCTCTTTCTGAATAAATGACCTTGCCTCAGAAGGGCCATAAGTGACCTCTGCCCCAACCCCAGGAACTTGCTGATGCTGGGAATGATGGCTGAGGTATGCAGGGAACAGCAGCTTCACCATAGTAGTGCCTACTTACCAACCAAAATAACAAATAACTAGAGTTTTCATGACAGACACATGAAACAGAAAACTGCTTGTGAGTTTGCTTGAGGGTTTAGTTTCCCTCAATAGAGCCTTATACCTGCTGCATACACGTGCCCAGCGAGCACAACTGTGCAGATGAGCAGGGCATGGAGCGGCAGCTCCTTCATTTCATTCCAGCCAGAGGGAAAGAAAATGAAGTGGGCAGGGTTTTTAGCTCTGAAACCCCCCATGAACTCCTAATTTTGACTGCTATCATATATCTCAGCCCAAACCTCTGCCTGCCTCCTTTGCCTTTTGACATATTTCTCCTGCCTGTGCTGTTGTGACAAGTTTCCACAACCTGGGAGCCTTGTGTGGGCCTCTAGGGAAAAAAGGAGGGAAGAAGATGGGGTGGAACACATAAAAATAGTAGATGCCAGTGATAAGGGAAGTGACTATGTGTAAAGTGTAATTCCCAAAACAGGCAGGCCCTTCTGGCTAGAGATCCCTGCACGGCATGCAGGGTGCTGTGTGCAGGGCATACGCCTCCAACTGCCATCCCTGTGGCCAGGAGCACTCACCGGGAAAGGGGCTAGCCAGTGCTCAGGGAATTATTATAAAAGGCTAAGGTAGAAACCAGAGAAGCGAAAGGAACATATATCTCCTGGAGTCAGAGAAGAGTGAGGAGGAGAGCTGCTCTCCATACCTCTTCTGTATTTGGGGAAAGCTCATGGGTGCCTGATTTTGTGCAGCTGTCGTTCCTGTGCTCCTGTCCTCCTGTAAGCACTGGGATCTAGCTGGATCATATAGAGCACATGTGAAAAGAACATGAGTGATATCAGGCACAGCGCATCTCTTCCACTCAGTTCTGGGAATCCTCTGTGCCTGCAGATGAGAAGAAAAAGCACGGAGCCCCTTATGTAGCTATAGCCATAGCAATCTGTCTTGCCTGTGATTCATTAATGCTTATAACAGTTGCTCGGAAATATTATTTGGATAAACATCAAAATACTTGGCTTTTTTTCGTTGTTGGGTTTATGTGGGTTTTTGCCATTTATTCAACAGAAGCTTCACCCACAACAAGAAAAAAAACCCTGACTGATAGCTGATTCAATATATAAGCATTAAATCCTTCTGTTTGTCCATGTATTATTACACTGATCCTCTGGCTAATGAATATTGCAAATGAATTATCTAAGCAGAGTCTACAGGAGGTACAACTTCAAGGAAGCAGGTGTAAACTTTCAGAGCTGCCATCCTCAGGACAGAAGAAAGAAGGGTTTCCTCTATTATCTCCAGAACATCAGCTCAATAATTTATACAGTGATATAATATGTGCAGACTCTCTCTACAGCTACTTTCACTCCAGCTAATTGTGCAAGGAACTTTCTTTTCCACACTAGTGGGTGACATACATAAGGGAGCAGCTGCCCTGGGCTGGTTTGTTGAGGGGTCCACACAATTTGCTGTGTCCAGTCCTTTCCTCCCCGGCTACTGCCAGTGACAGCAGATGTCTCACAACTTCTATGAAGGCAACTCCCAGCAGTGTCTACTCAAAATTCATTATTATCTATCAACTGTTATATACATGCTCATCCAACACTCCAGCACAATCTGATTTAATATGGTAACTAGTTGGCACTGAAGATAGCTAAAGTCAGCAGAGACTGCAAAGCAGTTTAGTATCAAGCCAAGACCAAACTCTGTGTCAGCAAACACCATTCTCCCATCAGTCCTCACCCTGCACTCTGGTTTCCAGCAGGTTAGGCACAGGAGCAGCACCAGATGTGGTTGACAGAGAATGTAGGACTGCCTGTAGACATGGTGAAGGATAGTGCCTTTCTCATTCATACCCAAACTTTGTACATCAGAGCCTGCCAAATCACAGCAGTATTGGTGGGAAAGAACCTCTGGAGATGCTTAGCCCCACTGCCTGCTCAAAGCGGGATAATCTCCAGCATCAGATTTGACAGACAGTTTTCTTTAGGTAAATATTAAAAACCTCCAAGAATAGAATTTTCACAAGTTCTTGGATAACCTGCTCAGGTGTTGCAGTTGTAACTATCTCCCTGCCCTAATATCCAGTCTAAACATCCCAAGGTACAGTTGTGAGCATTGGCCCTTTTTGCACCACCTACCACTGCCACAAATACTTCAACTTTATAAATTACCTTCAAATAGTCTTGACTCCTCACTCAAACTCAACAATAAATATGGAAGCAGTCTATCCCCTGACTCACCCAATCTATTTCCATGCGTTACTGTCCCTTTCATGTTATGTCCTTGATCCTTATATACTTTCCAATGAGTATTTCAGCATTAAAGTGTGCACCGTGGAAGTGATGGCTGTCAGAAGGGGAAGGGGCAGAGTTTTTACGTGGCCTGGCACAAATAGTCTGTAAGGCTGAATTCTGACATCTTTTCTCAAGCAAGTGACAGACTTAGGCTAACTAGGCTTAGGCAATAAGTCAGTCACTGTGACTTCCAGAAGGTGATCAGAGGGATGGAGTACCTCTCCTGTGAGGACAAGCTGAGACACTTGAGGTGGTTCAGCCTGGAAAAGAGAAAGCTCTGGGGTGATCTAATTGTGGCCTTCCAGTACCTAATAAAGGGAGCTGATCAGAAGGCTAGAAAAGGACTTGTACAAGAGCATGTAGTGACAGGACAAAGGGTAATGGATGCAAACAGACAGAGGATTGGTTTACATTCGATATAAGGAAGACATTCTTTTCTGAGAGGGTGGTGAGGCACTGGCACAGGTTGCCCCATCCCTGGAAGTGCTCAAGGCCAGGCTGGACGGAGCTCTGAGAAAACTGGTCAAGTGAAAGGTGTCCCTGGCTACTGCAGATGAGTTGGAGCCAGCTGATCCTTAAGGTGCCTTCCAAACAAAAGCTTTCTGTGATTCTGTGATTTCACTGGATGTTGAGAGAAGGGGAAGTTGTTCCTCGCCCTCTAAATCTGAGAAAGGACCTAACATGCAGGACTGTTTCCTTTTATTTTAGTTAAGGTAATGTAAACATGCACCCAGCTGGCAGGTTCTATGGTGCTGTTCCTCCCCTCTTACTTGGAGATGGGGCAATTACACCATAGGTAGAAAATCTTATCACTGGTCTTTGCTCCTAAAAAAAAGAGCAGAGTTCTGACTTGTTTGAAAGTAGTCAGTCTTTGACATAGGTCTATAGTCTTCCTCCACAGCTGGGAAGGCACTTTTTCACCAGGATTTCCCCTTGATCTCTTCTTGAGACAACATGACACAAGCTGCCTTTAAGCCAGAGCAGTTCATAAAGTGCCACTCTAAGCCATAGTAAAATAGTACTCAGCTTAAGTGTGAGAACTTGTACTTAGGGCATCTGGCTCTCAACAT